AAACAATTTTAAATCATCACAAACAAGTTGCCGATGAGATTAACAAGTATTTTATCTCCGTCCAATGTCAAGGTCAAAGCTGCAACGGGCCTCCCCCTCCCCAGCCACGACCCTTGCATTGTTGTCCTCACTCCTTCTTTGTTGCTCCAACTACCATTCCCGAAGTTTTGTCTACCATAAATGGATTGAAAAATAAAAAATCAACATGTTTGATCAAATATCTGTTCAACTTATAAAAACTGTCTCTAAAATCATAGCGCCTGTTTTAGTCCACATGATTAATCTTAGTTTTGCATGTGGTACATTTCCAGAAAAACTAAAACAAAGCATCATAGTGCCCATTCATAAAAAAGGCTCGTCAAAAAAATTTGACAATCTCAGACCTATTAGTTTGCTCTCAGTTTTTTATAAAGTTTTTGAGAAATTAATGAAAGTCAGACTTACAACATTTTTGGATGGTTTAAATTTTTTCAGCAACTCTCAATTTGGTTTTAGGAAAGGAAAGTCGACAGAAGATGCACTGATTACAGTCACAGATAAAATTTATCAAAGTTTAAATAGCAAAAACAAAGCAACAGGTTTATTTGTTGATTTTAAAAAAGCATTTGATCTAGTTGACCATAATCTTTTATTATCTAAATTAGATGCTGCTGGTGTTAGAGGTGTAGCTAATAATTGGTTTTCTAGTTTTCTCTCAAACAGAATACAGCAAACAAAGACCAACTAAGTTCTCCTCTACATGTCAGGACAGGTGTTTCCCAGGGATCAGTTACCTCTGCGACCCTCTTCCTCATATTTATTAATGACCTTCTCAAGCTTCCGTTCCATGGACACGTATGTGCTTTTGCTGACGAGTGACGACATTGCGTTTTTTTATTCCCAAAAAGATATTTTCACTCTTTACGGTTACATCCAAGAAGATCTTCAGCTTTTGAGTGATTGGTGTAAAGCAAATAAAATGCAGGTTAATGTTGATAAGACAAAATACATAAATTTCAGTCTAATAAGTAGTTTTAACTTTCCAAACAATCTAGTTTATCATTCTTCGAATTGTAATTTAATTTCATGCATTTGCAAATCAATTGAAAAGGTCAAGCATTTTCGATATCTCGGAGTAGTTTTGGATGAAAATCTAACTGGGATAGACATATTTCCACACTAGATACAACAATTAAACAAACTATAAGAGTTTTCTATTTTATAAAAAACATTTGTAACACCTTCTTACTTCGAACTCTTTATTTTGCTCTTGTCCAATCAAGACTCCAGTATGCAATTCAATGCTGGGGCGGAACTTTTAAAAGTTATATTGAAAAATTAAGGTTTACACAAAATCATTTTTTAAGGATAATAACTAAAAGTAATAAGCGTGAAAGCTCTTTCCCGTTATTTTCTCAATTAATAATACTCCCAGTTCAGCACTTATATATTTTTAAGGTTCTAAAACTCTTCTATGTACGCAGTGGAAATACTGGGACAAGCAACCTTTTGTATAATACTAGACAAAACAATCAAGGCATTTTCCGTTTACCTAAAGTAAACAAGTCTTTGTTCAGACATTCTTATCAGTACAATGGTCCCAAATACTTCAACCAACTGCCAGAAGATATCAAATTTTGTTTGACCTTAGATAAATTTTCTTCAAAATTAAAACATTGGCTTTTTCATTATCCGGACGTATATTTTCTTAATAATATACTAATATAACAACTTACATCAACCACTCAAAGAATATTTATTCTTTTTCTTTTTTTCTGCAAATAAATCCGTCAAGTTTCGCTATTTTTGTAATTTCCAATTTGTTTTCCATTTCACGAAGAGGCAATACATTTTTAGTTATAGGAGTTATTTTATATTCCTATACTTAAGACGCCACAGAGAGCGGCAACTTGTATTTATCAAGCGAAGAGACTGGACTCAGTTGTAAATAAAATTGTTTAATTTTTGTTGTTTTACGTTTGCCACGATTACTGGATAATGTGGCAACGTAGTTCCAAGTGATTGTATTATTTTGTATTTATTTGTTTTGAAGGAATAAACTCATTATTTCATTTCATTTCATTATTTCATTATTTCAGTGTACTCTCACTGGCTCATCTTTAAAAGTGATGATTGTAAAAAGTTAGAGGAACTCACACTGAGCTATAATAATATAACTGGAGTAACCACTCTGTGTTTTAAAAACGTACCACTGTTTTTGCTGTTTTTGTTTCAGAGCTTCGTGTTGTTAGGTTGGCCAGGTGATCGGTTGGTGGGATTTGTCAAATTAGAGGAAAAATCATGATGGCGTCAACCTATTGTCTTGTTGATAGCAAACAAAAATATGTCAACATTATGATTGCAATATAAGTTTAATTATTTATCATACGAGCAAGATCAACCCGTTTTAACAAGATCATAAACCGATGGTCATTCTTTATCAAATGCCATAGGTAAACCTGCCACAGTAAACCCAAGACTAAACCAATATCTCCAAACCAGGAAACTTGACTAGCCTATTTTCACCACATAGCTTGAAAAGAGGTAAATAAGTTAGTAGCCTATTTATTTATTATCAAAAACAATTTATAATGTTTCAAAATAACTTTAAATGCACAGGTTTTAACGTGCAATGTCTTAAATAAGTTTTTTATATAAGTCCTTGAAATAACGGATAGGCCTAACCTCAAAGGAATAGTAAGGTTAGGTTAGAATGAATTGGAATTTGACAGCACCCCACCAACCGATCACACGGCCAACCTAACAACACGAAACGCCAAAAACAAGCCAGCAAAAACAGTGGCACGTTTTTCTCTAATGTTTAACCAGAGAGTAGTGACTCCAGTTATAATCTATATCTCAATGGGAACTCACTACATTGAATAAACAATAACATCTTCAGACAAAATAAAATCAGCTGATTAGTTTCTAAACAAGTACGTTGACTTTCACAACAGCTGATTTAGAAGGTTTGAGTGTTTAGTGTGAATTTTAAAGACTGTAAAAAGGTGTGCAATTTTTAAGCCATCCTAATGATTGATAATTGATAAGAAAAGACACTTATGGGGCTATGTAACATTTAATTATTGTTTGAAATAATCCAAAATCGTTAAAAAATAACTTGCAAAGGGGACGGAGACTGTTGCATTGTTGTGGCAGACTAGACCGCATGCCTCGGCATGCACTACATCTAACTTCCAGCGGTCACGTATTACTAAAGCTGCCATATCTCAATTAATATTCATCCAATCTTAAAGATTAAGGTGTCAATCGATTTGTAATAAAATTGTCTTAAACAAGTTATTCTTGTAATTTTTTTTGTAAACTCAACAGTTTTTGAGTTATTTAAGAAACAAAGTTTTTAATGGCCGCCATTTTGTTTTATGAATTTAAAAAATGTTCATAATTTTTTGCAGCTTTGTCTAGTTGTCATAAATGTTTTTGAAAAGTTTCAATTTCGTATCTCTTACCACTTTTTAGAAAACAATTAATAAGCGAATAAAACAAAATGGCGGCTGTGTGAGTAACTAAGGACTTCCGGTCAATTTAAATATGATATTTGGATTTGTTTCTTACCCAGGAACAATACCCTAAAATATCTGAAACAATTCTGAAACACCCTGTATATAATTTATAATCAAAATTTATTCATTGGCTTATCCAAAATTATTATTCAAAACAATTCCTCCATTTAAAATACAGTGCATCTGGGTTCAAGATTATCAATAAAATTCAACCATGTTTTTAAATATGTGAACCCCATAATTTAAGAAATGATTGACAACAATGAACGGGACAGTGCAGTTAAGTCATCCAAGAAGAACATACAGAAACTATTAATTGTGATAAATTGTAAAACTATTTAAATTATAAAATAAAGTGTTGTCAAAATATCCAAATCAACTGAAGAAAGAAGAATTAGACATACATTATTAAGAAGAAAATCATTTCAAGAAGATTGGTGAGAAAATTCCATTTATTAAGTTATTAACTCAGACTATAGGCTCATCCAGCATCCATTTTGAGAAGAAAACTAACCCTCCATATTTCATTAGCGTTAACAAAAGAAAAGAAAAATTAATCACCTTACTAAAATATTGTTTCCAAATTGTTATTCAATCTACATTTAACTTATTGCATTTTATAAATTCAAAGAAATCTTTTGATTCAGTCAGCACGAACCCCAACCCCTGAAGAATTTTTGTAACCACTTATTTACCATTAAACATTGTATTCAATAACATCTGTACCTCATCATTTATAATATTGTTAAGATAAAATTAAAATAACAACAACATATTTAGAGGTTTATTTCAGGTTATTATCGATTATGTTAAGTTATTTTAACATTATTTCAATAATTTATAACCTAATCATTCTGTGCGATACAGTACTAACCGACGCGAGCTGGTCCGATACTACCCGACCAACATGGTCCGCCATATTGCCTACCACTTCCGTAGGTACTAACCAAACTAAACTAACCCTTCATCTACAAAACAAAGTACAGTACAACCTCTTTACTATCAAATAATAATGTTTAAACATAAAAATACTTTTTCAGTTTAGCACACTGATGTCTTAAACATAAGTACGTGCACAGAAATTATAACGAAAAACTAAAAAATCGTCACAGCACCAATGTTTAATGAGGCACGAAACTCGTAATGGCGCTCACATAGTCTTTCTCCTAGGTGCTTCTGCTGATGTCCTATTCAGTACTGCCTCTAGCAGCAAAAGCTAGAAACAGCGTTTGTCCAATACTACACGCTGTCCGATACTACACGACTTTCCCTCAATCAAAAATCATCAATTTGATTATTTTTCAGATATTTATGTTAACGCTGCAGAGCAGCATGGGTCCTCTAGTATCAACTTTAGTTAAACATTATTCTCATCCGTTACTTAAATCAACTCAAATAGAACTGGCGGTTGATTAATCAACCCTATTAAACATACCTATTTTTAAACATAGCTTGATCCACCAGTTCTATTAGCTTTGAGTATAATCAAGATATTACCTTGATAATATTGTTTTCCTTTGTCCCACATTGAGACTTAAGCAGGTATTCTCTCCAACCAGGCTCTTTTCGTTGTTGAAGCATGTCCAACAACACTGGACATGTCTTGATGTTGATACACTGACCTGGCACATTTCTTGGGGTCCTACAATCATTCTTGTCATTTCCAAAATTTACATCTGTAAACAGTTAATTGTTTCTTGATAGGATTATTTCTATAACTACCTATCTGTTTTTTATGAAGGTAAATTAAAACTTTTAGTCAATTCTTAATTTAGTGATAAAGACATCCACATCACATTTTCACACATTTTTACATTTTTTTACATTGTCACATTTTTTAGTAGATCTTCTTAGTAAGATATTAGTATAAGCAAATAGAATTAGCAAAGACCTAAATTAAGCAAAGTGCCTAAAAGTAAGTGGTGAAATCAGGAATGCCACATTAGTTTTATAAAGTCATTTAGTGGATGAATTTGCATTGCTTAGGGATGGACGAGACTGGATTTTAAGTTTGGACCAGATCGAGACGAGATTATAGATCTCATTACTATAGGAAATTATTTATTTGCGTAGTTTTACAATGGTTAATAAATAATAATAAAGCACTATTAAACCAACTACTAATGTACATTAACTAACTAGGTATTTATCACAAATGTTGATACAAAAAGAGAGTAAAATACCCCGCCGCAGCAAACCTGCTGACTAAGCGAGTTTCCATTTACCTGGCTGGAATTCCACTAAATTAATCCCTTAAAATTGTCAGATTTACTTCCTATTTAAATATAATTTATTTTAATGAGTACATAGGTTTGCTGCTACAGGGAAGGTATTAAGATGGGTATTTTTTATTTAAATGTAGCTATCAACATTATGAAATAAACAAAATTGCCAAATTTGATTAATTATATCCATAAACAACCAAACTGCAACAGTTTATTTATTTTCCATAAGAATACCTATAAACATCCTAAACATGAGAATTTTAAATTTAAAATTTTTTGAATTATCTCCCTAACCGTTAAGCATACAACAATGCTTCAATATACGCCTACAAAATTATTTATTATTTAAGCTCTACAAAATGGTTTAGAAATAAATTGAAAAATTTTATGTTTTTAGGGGTAAAAATGGGGTTTTCCCATTTTTACCCCATAAACCCCTGTTCCCATATTCCCATTATTCCCAGATCATGTTGGTTCCCAAACTTGTTCAAATAAATGTAGGTTTACACGTTTATACCAAATTTCATCAAAATCGGATCATTTTTACTCGAGTTATTGTACTAACGGACACATGTATAAATCTAATATATAAAATTCTCGTGTCACAGTGTTTGTCTGCAAACTCCTCCGGAACGACTTCACCGATCGTTATGAAATTTGGTGTGTAAATTCTGTAGGTATGCGAATCGGACGTAAACTATTTCCCGTTTCGAAATTCTTAAAAGGGCTCCGCCCCAGTGGCTCTGGAGTTTCCCATGTTAACCTTATGAGAAATGGAATTAATGAATCTTAACAGCTGTTTCAATTAAACAAGTTGGTTCTGTTCTATGATGTTCAATAGCATTAAAGTTACAAGGATTACCAACAGGGTGCAGCACTATTATTTCTTTTACATTTATGACAACAGCTAATTTGCAACCAAAAGGTGAGTGAGCGTAGCGAACGAACTTCAACCTGGAGGCGAGTTAGCGTAGCGAACGAGCTAACCTGAAGGCAAGTGAGCGCAGCGAACGAGCTCCAACCTAAAGGTGAGTGAGCATAGCGAACGAGCTCCAACCCAAAGGTGAGTGAGCGTAGCGAACGAACTTCAACCAGGACGTGATTGAGCGATGCGAACGAGATCATCTTGAAAATTAAACGTAACGGTACTTTCTTTCCATCGGTCTGTCTTAGGGGAAACCTATAACTTAGGCGATACGAAGTTCGCCGGGTCAGCTAGTATATATATATATAATATACATATGAATTTGAACGGATTGTTTTTGGCCTCTGGGGACCTTAAAACGAAAAAGTAAATCGGTCCTGGGTCCAGATCTTACCATGAGACCTACAGTAATAGCTTATTACCTATATGGGAAATTCGCTAAAATAACAAAAGCTTACAGGAACTTAAATAGTTAGTTAAGATAATCATAAATAAGAAAAAACAAAAATAAAATCAAATATTTTAAATGTCAAACCGTAACATGCACACCACAACTAACAGTATTACAACAAAAACAGTCTTCAAGAAACAAAAGAAAGTTAGTGTAGTAACTTGTAGGGTGTTTTCTGATACCAACCAGTGAAAATGATATCAAATTCCCCTATTATATCCGGTATAGACAGGACCAAGACCATTACGGATAACAAATTACTGGGAAGTATTTTTTTTAATAATCTTGTCTTGAAAAAGTCTTAGAGTAAAGTTAATCCTGCTCAAACTAATGAGATTTATTAAATTTCGCAAATTTCTCAAGAATTTGAGACTCGTCCATCCCTAATATGATGCAAGTTATATCCCAGAGCTATAAAAAGATGCATCAAGCTGTATTAGATTAGATTCATATTGCACTATATGTTATATGTTTTCAACAGAACGTTAACTTCCCATTGTAAGTACAGTATGCCATTAAAGATTATTAGTTTTATAGATTGCGACTGCAAGGAACTCTAGACAAGTAACTTGATATTGAATTGTATTGAACGAATAACATATCTGAATGTACGAGTATCAACACGTATATTTCGAACCATTCATTTGAATATATAACCAACTTTTAAGGATATTTTTGTCCAAAGAAATTGAAACAGAAAATATACTTTAATACTTTTCAATGAAATGGCAACTATACAAAGTAGGTAGTAGGTACAGTATTCTTCATGGATAGGCTTCCACGGTCGTCACTTATACATATACCTACAGTCTTGGTCTTCAGGGTTCGACCGCGTCCTTAGGTTATATACACTACAGAAACTACCGACGTTTCGGCCACATAACAGTCAGCCATCTTCAGGGCGAGCGAGCACATCACCGAAGTCACAGAACTCAGCTGGCACGGGTGGGCCGGGCTCGTAGGTTATATACCCTCTTGATGGTGGTGGGAGTGTTCTGGAACTTCCCACTCCAGCTCCACTGGGCTCAGGCTGCTTCTAGAAAGTTCTTGGCTTTCTCTGGCGAGTGGGGACTGTTGAATATCCGTTTTGCATTGTATTTTCAGTTTACTTAAGATCGGGTCCCACATATTCCTTAAATCTATTCCGTTATCTTTGTTAAAATTGTCAGCATGTTTCCTAATTTCTATATTGCTTCTAAAATCTTTCTTTCAAAATAGTTATCGGAATATGACAAAACTTTTACATTATCAAACTCTATTGAATGTTAGTTTGGAAGGAATGGTCAGCAATTGCCGAATGTTCTACATCAAGGAGTTTTGTGCATCTTATATGTTCTTTTAATCTAGTCAAAACCAATCTACCAGTTTCACCTACATAACATCTGCCGCAGCTACGATACACACCAGAAACTTGCAGTCAAAATTTTTCTTTGGTTGGACGTAAAAATTGTTTTATTTTTGTAGGAGGTTTAAATACTTTTTTTATATTCTTTCTGTCGTGCCCTTGACGTAATATATGGCATAATCTTTCTTTTCTTGCTGTTCTGTAGATTTTCTTAATTTTCCTTGTCTATTTATAGGTTTTTTAATTTCTTGTTTCTTGTAGCCATTACACTGAAGAACTTTGAGTAAATGAAGATTCTCAGATTTTTTATGCTCTGAATCCGAAATGTGGAACGCTCGATTTGCCAAAGTGTTAAGAACTGTAGTCTTCTGTAACGGGTGATGATGCGTTTCAGCATTGAGGTAAAGATCTGTGTGTTTTCTTCCTATATGCCATTGCATTCCTATATTTGCATTCCTATTCGGAATGGCCTAGGCTACCGTCTGGCTTATAATTACTTAAAAGATAACGAAATAGATTGAAGGAATACGTCGAACCCGATTTTAAGTAAACTGAAAATACAGTGCAAAATTGATATCCAACAGTCCCCACTCGCCAGAGAAAGCCAAGAACGTTCTAGAAGCGGCCTGAGCCCAGTGGAGCTAGAACGGAGTGGGAAGTTCCAGAACACCCCTACCACCAACAAGAGGGTATATAACCTACGAGCCCGGCCCACCTGTGCCACCTGAGTCCTGTGACTACGGTGATGTGCTCGCTCGCCCTATGAAGATGGCTGACTGTTATGTGGCCGAAACGTTGGTAGTTTCTGTACATAGTGTACATAACCTAAGGACGCGGTCGAACTCCTAAGACCAAGAAAATAGCCAAGTTTGAATGGAGATGAGTGTAGGATGAGTGGCACGATCTTGTAGTCTTGTTAGTGACTAACGCCGACATATTTCTTAGACACAGTTGTTAATTAATAGCATATACAGCTAATGGCAACTAAGGGACCTACAGTTTATAGTGGAATCCGAACCACATTTTTGCCTTGATAATAACGAATTGGTCTAATTATCAGGATAGTACTGCGGATAGTCTTAGTACTCACTAGTGCGGACGTTAATCCACACCAGGGAGTATCGTATCCACAGTGCATGCCTATAAATATCCACAATTTGTGACCTTCTAGTAGCTGGATTACAGGACGTCGCAACCATCGCAGTCATACCATGTGGCATGTTTATTAAGTAAGTACATCTAAGAGTGTATACATTTATGAAAACAAACAGGGGACAAAATTAGCCTTTTGGTCCAATCTTAAAGAAAATATACCATTAGTTGAAGTTTATAATCATTTAGGCCTATATAACCAAATATTAGTACGGTATTAGTTTGATTATTATGATCAACTTTCTTGAAATAGTATTTAAATTAGATATACCAAACATTTGTTTCTGGACTTCTTAAAATGGGTTTTCATTAATAACTGTTAAAACAAATATATTTAAAATTTTGACAAGGTAGGTACAGTCAGGGCCGGACTTAGGACTTCAGGGGCCCCGGGCAAATTTGCCAATGGGGCCCCCTCCCCCAGTATGAACATACGAGAATATACAATACACAATATATATCGCCTATTACATGTTTACTAATTTTAATTAAGCAATGTAAAGGTGAAATGATAAGTAAACCTGTTAGAATAGTATGCTGTATTTTGCATAAACTTATTTGATGTAATATTTTTGGTT